TTTTATTTATTTAATGTGTTTTTCGATATATTAAGGGATCCTATGAATAAAAATAATTTGTTTTATTCGGAAAATTTCAAACAATGCTTTAAAACTCGAAGAATCCCGAAAAATTAGTTTATTTTTATTATATTATCTTTTTAAACTCCTTTTACAATACTTTCACGATAATTTAGCATGCGAAATGTGTTCTGTGTTTAAAATCAAGTGTCTTTCTTAGTGAAAGATCGCATAATGGAATAAAAAATAAAGTCCAAGGAACTAACGCTTCACCGTTATAAATTTTGAACATTTTAAGCCAGTATTATAAACGAAAAGGAGTTAGAGCTATAATTAAAACATTTCAAGCATGATTTGGCCTAGGAGAATAAATTAGATAAATTTCGAAGAGATGCATAAAATAGTAAAAAACAACAATCTCGAAGACACTTTTCCATACATTGACGTTTGTCATATGTTTTTCAAGCGTGGACATTGGACAATTGTCGCTCATGATAACTAGATGTAGTGGCGCACGCTCATTCACCATACTAAATTTGATTAAAAATTACTTAAGAAAGAATGAGTCATCATGAGCATTGAAAATGATTTTAGCAATGTGATAGAAGGCTTCACCTCTCGAAACGCGTAAAAAGTATTGCTATCTTAAACTTTTGATGAAAATGATGTAATTAATGCTTTTATAATAATGTATAAATGTTTTACTTTCTTAAAATTATTCAAAAGTAAAATTTTTTCTTTGAAATTGCTCATAAAGAGCCCCCTAATGAAGACAGGCCGAGGGCCCCCAAAACGGCTCTGCTTTTTGGATTATAGATTTTCATTTAAAAAAAATTAATATATTACCTTAACGTTAGTTTCGTGTACAAAATGAATAAATAATGAAAATGTGATCGAGCTTACACTTTATCTTTCTTATTTATCTGCTATATAACTAAAGTTTTTCTGGAGAGTATGCATACCGCTATCGAAAGACGGAGCTCCAAAACTAGCACAGCAGTACGTTGTAGTTCTGGGAGGTAATGTCCCAATAGTTTCGCCAAGAGAGCTGTCCAAAGTTTAGAACAATTAATGTTAATTTTACTTTGTGTGTATTTCACCATATCTCGAAAACTTATAAAAAGAATTTGAAAAATTTTTGCTCTCAGTTATAAAGATCGTTTATCCAAAAGAAAATTCTATGCAAAATATAACTTATAGTAAATGCTAATTATTTTATTTAATAATAGTCGAAAAATTGAACTGCAGGGTAGAAATTTTTTTCAAAATTTAACTTTTCACTAATTGACCGATTTTGCTATTTAAAATTGCATTCTTTAAAATGATGTAAAAAAATTATCTACTATACAATTCAAAAATTTTAAGACTTATGTTAAATAAAAAACCAATGATCATTTACTAAAGGATATATTTTGAGTGGAATTAAATTAAAATAAACGAATTTTACAACTGTGAACAAAAATCTTTCAATTCGTTTAAAAAGTACTAAAAAAAATCAACATGAAGGAATCCAAATTTTGGAATTCAACGAAAGTTTAGCATCTGAAAAATGTTCTTTATTTAAAATCAAGCGTCTTTTTTGGTGAAGGAACGCCTAAAGAAATAAATAATAAAACAAAATAAAATGGCGGGCAAAAGGCTCAAATTTCAAGCCCGTCTAACTCCCTTTAATATTAAGCTGCAATTTTCAAACTCGGGCGTAAAGTTGGCCTCTAAGAGCCAAACCACCCTACCAAGAAAAATTTTTATAGACCATATAGGGGGGCAGCAAATGCCCCTTAAGTCTTTTGTTTAGCTGCCCGGGAGAGGGTACTTGAAGCTAAGTAGTAGCACGATCCCCGTATAAACGTGGTTCATTGGCTAAGACCGCATGATAAAATAGTAAAAAACAACTATCTCGAAGACACTTATCCATACATTGACGTTTGTCATATGTTTTTCAAGCGTGACATTGGACAATTGTCATTCATGATAGCTAGATGCAGTGGCGCACTTTCATTCTGCATACTAAATTTGATAAAAAATGACTTAAGAAAGAATGAGTCATCATGAGCATGAATTATGATGTGCTGGAAAATGATTTTAGCAATGTGATAGAAGGCTTCACCTCTCAAAACGCGTAAAAAATATTGCTATCTTAAGCTTTTGATGAAAATGATGTAATTAAAGCTTTTATAATAATGTATAAATGTTTCACTTTCTTAAAATTATTCAAAAGTAAAATTTGTTCTTTGAAATTACTCACAAAGATCCCCCTAATGAAGACAGGCCGAGGGCCCCCAAAACGGCTCTGCTTTTTAGATTATAGATTTTCATTTAAAAAAGTTTAATATATTACCTTAACGCTAGTTTCGTGTACAAAATGAAAAAATAATGAAAATGTGATCGAGCTTACACTTTAACGTTCTCATTTATCTGCTATATAACTAAAGTTTTTCTGGTGAGTATGCATAGCGCTATCGAAAGACGGAGCTGCAAAACTAGCACAGCAGTACGTTGTAGTTCTGGGAGGTAATGTCCCAATAGTTTCGTCAAGAGAGCTGTCCAAAGTTTAGAACAATTTATGTTAATTTTACTTTGTGTGTATTTCACCATATCTCGAAAACTTATAAAAAGAATTTTAAAAATTTTTGCTCTTAGTTATAAAGATCGTTTATCCATGAGAAAATTCTACGCAAAATATAACTTATAGTAAATGCTAATTATTTTATTTAATAATAGTCGAAAAATTGAACTGCAGGGTAGAAATTTTATTTCAAAATTTAACTTTTACCGATTTTGCTATTTAAAATTGCATTCTTTAAAATGATGTAAAAAAATTATCTACTATAATTCAAAAATTAGACTTATATTAAATAAAAAACCAATGATCATTTACTAAAAGGTATATTTTGAGTGGAATTAAATTAAAATAAACGAATTTTATAACTGTGAACAAAAATCTTTCAATTCGTTTAAAAAGAACTAAAAAAAATTAACATGAAGGAATCCAAATTTTGGAATTCTCTTCTGTCCAAACTTGGAACCATATTTCCAGAGTTCCGGCTGCCCCCAATATCTTGGGGGTCAGACATCCACATCACAAAAAATAAAAAAAAGTTGGTTTACTCAGAGAAAGTGCATTTTTGTGTCTGATTTCATAAAATATTGTTACTGTAAGACTATCTTTTTTGTGTTAAAAGGGCATTTATACTCTATTCCTTTACTACTTGATTAAAGGCGCCAAATACTGTCTGTGGAGATTCTGGACCTCATTTCAAATCAACTTAAATAGAGTTGAAACGTTTAATGCTCATTATATGAATTATTTGCTTATGCTTTACTGCTACTTCGTAACCTGAATTAATAGTGCTTTGTTTTTTTAATAAAGTGGAAAACTGTATTCTTTCTTCTTAGAATAAATCAATTATATTTTAAATGGGAATAAAAAGTACATTAAGTGCTTAATTTCTGGATCACTTTTATCAATATTAATGTACTTAAGTGTGTACTCAATAAAAGTTAATTTAAAAAAAGGAGCTGTTTTTGTACATTGTTTTCAAAAATGCTGCAAATCAAGTTTCGTTTCTTTTTTGCCTACTATGGCAGGTAACACAACTTTTTTTTTATTACAATTAATTTAAGACAGAAAGTAAGATTTGTATACTATTGAATTTGTAATTTTTGTTGAGAAGAATATAATTAATTAGATGTAGAGAATTGGCATTTTATGTTTAAATTTCATATTGGTTCAAAATCAAAGTCACTGATTCTAACCTATTTCAAGCATTGATTTGAAATAAATACTGTACTAAAATTTGGATATATGTTCGATTTTATTGTGTTTTTAATCGATTTTATTAACACACTGCGTTTTTAATCGAATTTATTAACACAGAAACTGTTCGTGTAGAACAGTTTCTGGATTGGAAGGTTCTGGGTTTATATCCCGCTTAGTGCATAGGAGTAATCTATCTGTCCTTTTAAGGGTGACGTTGATCTACCTTAATGGGACCCACAAAACAGAAATAAACAATAGTGCCTGTCACGCGCCATATGTTGCCAAAAGTGGTGGGTATTGAAATAATATTTCTGAAAAATATTAATCTTTGGAATGTCTTGCACATCATTCATACAAAGTCATCTTAAAGACTAACAGTTAAAATTGAGTCAGCTACTTTAAAAAAAAAAAAATCTTTCTTCTGTTTCAAATTTTATAAATTAGAATGTCTTTAAAGATTAACAGAATATTGTATTTTAAGTTTATACGATTGTATAATATTTTTATGCTCAATTGACTGAATTAAATGATAAATTTTATATTATGCCTTTTGAGGTAACAATATGTCTTTTTAAATCTGTTCTGGCTCTTTCTTTTAGTATCTTGCTTTTTTTTTGATGTGTCACGTTGATGCATTCTTTTATATATATATATATAACGTCGTTGCCGAGAGGAAGGATAAAAACAGGTCTTAGGCAAGGAAAGAGAACACAATATTTAATTTTTAGCGAGAGAACAATCATCAAAGTGACACAAAATCGTTGTGTTCTTCAATAAAAGTTAGTTTCCCAAAACTGTGGCTTTTCTTCAAGTCAAGTGTTCTGTTGTTCAATACTTATCAGTGTTTCAATCAAATGACTTCTACTGACGTACTATTGGACATATTTTCTAAATTTAATAAGTTTTAAATTAAATACAGTAGCATTAAATTCTAAATTGAAATTTATTTAAATTGAAACAGTTGCAGTGAAATAGTACTAAGCTTGTATATAAAGTGAACTAAGTACCTTGGACAGATATTCTATAAAATAGCAGCTTTCCCTTAATCTTCAAGAAATGATAAATAAATGAGATACATTTTCTTTTGATAATTTTTATTTTTACCTTTTTATTTATTTTTTAGTGGTAAGTAAGAGTACAGCATATATGTAAAAAATACAAAATAGGACACAAAAAAAAATAAATAAAATAAAAAAAATAAAGTTGGATCAGAAATATTAAAGCATGTCTATTTTTTTCTGTTCTTATACAATAGACAAAGAGTATTGGTAGCCAGCTTGACTCTATGATGGTGCAATCACATAAGGTTTATGACAGCTACTAGTGGCAACATCCTGAGAAAAGGAGCAGCTAAAAGTCTTGTCTGCTTATTCAGCTGTAAAATAGAAGCATTTTTCTTGATAAAAAAA